CTTTTAAAAATTAAGATTTTTAATGAATTGCCAGAGCGATTGCCTGGGCCGCCAGTGAGAGATTCTCGTGTTGCCGAGGTGTAATTTTTGTGCCAATGCAGGATTGTTTCGATTCTGTGCCGTCTGCTGTGTAGAGAAGGGAGAGAGAGAGAATTCGCTGACCTGGGCGGAAAAAAAAAGGGGGAAATGGGTTTCCCGAAAGAGAATGGGTTTTCCTTAATTGAACAAGTTACTTTTGTTCGCATTCCGTTAAATCATTGGTTTCCTCCCCTAGCTATTTCTGACGGATAACATTTCGGGGATTTTGCTTTATTCCCCTTGTCTTCTTCTCCGTGTCGTTAGCCTGGACATGTCCAGTTGTGCAGTGCAAATTCCCCGATATCAGTAGGACCACGCACAGACAGTCCCTCGCCATCTGTTTTGATTGCCTCTTGTTTTTTTCGATGGTACAACGCGGGTACTTCCGCGGTTTAGACGATCTCGGATATGTTTATTATTGCATACGATTATTTATTATTCTGATTCGCGTTCGATTTGTACAATTCATTATGCTTGTATGATATATATATTTCGGCATTTATTTTTATGATTAGTCTGTGAGTCTATGATCAGTCTATGACCTATGATTAGCTCGAAATTTTTATGATTAGTCTATCCTTAGTGCATTTTTTGAAATCTTGCGGAGTGAGAAAATCATTTCTGATTGCAGAAAAAAATCACAGAAATCCGGAAAAATTAAAGATCAGAAAATTTCGAATTTGACTTGATTTGATTCGCAGGAGAAAAATCAAGAAAAAAAACTCTTGCAGAATCGAATTTTTTACCGAACATTTTTTGGATTGTTTAATAAAAACAACCAATTTTTATTATTCTGCAGTCAAAATTGACCGCACCAGATAAGCGAACGAAATACTGTTTGATATTCGTACTCGATTTGTACAACAGTTCATTATGCGCTTGTATATTAAGCAATGAAATTGTATTGTACTTAGTGGCCCCTGAAGAAGTGGATATTGTCCGAGGGTATGCAGCTCAGGATCGAAGGGTTCTTTCCCGTCTCGTTTGCTTGACATGTCCTCCAACTGCACACTCTTCGATATCAGTACCACTCAAGGACGACCGTTCGCATCCTGTTACGATTGCCTCTTGTTTTATGGATGGTCTTTCATGATGTAGACGATCTCGGATATTATTATTATTATTATTATTGCATGCATAAAAACTCCAATCCCGACTTATTACCGTGATATTCGTATTTGATTTGTACAATTCATAACGTTCGCTTGCATATGATCATTTAAATATGGAATTTTTTCTTTTTTGTTTTTAGATTTTTTGTATTTTATTTCTTTCGTATTTTTTGTTTAGATTTTTTGTATTTTATAAATAAACGACTGTATTTGTGCGGCTCCTGAACACTGAACAGAGCTGGTGGATACCGACTTAAGGTGTGCAGCACGGGATCGAGAGGTCTGGTACAGTTATGCCCGATAAATGCTTTGCAGGGAACGAGATTTCATGCTTAATCTTGTGAAAACACACACACAAACCCATACGTATGAAAGCTAATCGGTGAATTCAAGGAATACATGACTCCAGTATAACTGTAGGAATCCGCTTCTTGTCGAAGACAGAGTACACATAGACTACGCTTCCAC